ATGCCTGTAATCCTAGCTACTCAGGAGGCTGAGATCAGAGGATCATAGTTCAAAGCCAGCCCAGGCATTAATGTATGTGAGACTCTAATCTCCAAGTAACCACCAGAAAACCAGAAGTGGTGCTGTGGCTCAAGTGGTAGAGCGCTAACCTTGAGCTGAAGAGCTAAGGGACAGCACCCAGACCGAGAGTTCAAGCCCCACAACTGACAAAAAAAAAAAACCCTAGTACCCTAAAAAACAAAATCTAAGTAATTTTCAAACTTGCAGTATGCTGTCTCATTAACTATAGTCATTATCTATAGAGTCCCTCCTCTCTCTTTCTCTCCCTCTCTCTCTCCCGCCCCCTCTTTCTTTGCTCATCCTATGGCTTGAACTCAAGGCCCGGGCCCTGTCTCTGAGCATTCTTTTGCTCAAGGCTAACACTGTACCATTTTTCTGAGTAGTCTTTTAGACTGTCCTGCCTAGGCTGGTTTCAAACTATGATCTTCAGATCTCAGCCTCCTGAGTTACAATCGATGTCTTGAAAGTCAAATTTCTGTTTCTTTATGTCTAACCTCCACTTCTGGTCAGCAGAATGCCCCTGATGGGTTGTAAGAGACCCTGTCTCAAGAGCTGAAATGTTGGGAGCAGAGGGACAGTTGGTTTCAAACTTCTTTCCACCAGTTTTCAAAAGAAAGCAAAGCCCCTTGGCCCTCAAAATTATTCATCAAAATTACCTGGAGGATTGCTGAAACAGATACTGGATCCCAATACCAGAGTTTCTAAGTGGATAGAGTGCAGGACTGAGCCAAAGAATTTGTCATTCCTAATAATCCTGAAGAAAAACACTGACATTTAGTGCTTTAGACTTTCCTTTGGTAACTAAGGCCTAGCTTTCATTTTATCAATGAGTTAACTGAAGTCCAGGGTGAAACACAAGTCTTTGTGGATATTGATCTTACCAAACAAGATAAAAATTCTCAGAGGTGGAAAATGATATAGGAAAGGAAGCAAGGATATCTTCAGCCGTGAGCAGGGCTATTATTAATGGGCACTACTTACTCTACTGTAGCAGGGGTATTATGGTCATACATAGTTCAGATTGGAAGGCAAAGTGGGAAGCAGAGAAATCAGACATTTGGGGGTTCCACAGGAGCCCAGCACACAGCCTTAGTATCCCTGGATGACAAGATGGTTTTGGAACCCTGGCTCAATGCCAAGCTTTGCCAAATATTGCCCTCCCCATCTCAGTGAGGACTAATGTACACCTTTTGCTCAACCCTCACAATAACACTGGTATCCAATTTGCCAATGGGAAAAACTCCATTAAATATGTGAAGCAACCCAGTTCCTGGCTAGGTAAATTAGCAGAGGTATGAGGAATCCAAGATAACAGATTTAGCTCCTCCCTCAGCTGGTCTTAGATTTTACTAATAAAAATGAGTGAAATAACAACATCTAGACACAGCCCTCTAAAAGTTCAATGAGAATGTGAATAAAGTGCTGAACACCCATTGCACATGTATTTGCCCAGCATAGTGGTTCTCAACTGGTAGTAATTTTTAATTTGGGAAGTATGTGATAATGGGGATATTTTTGATTAGGAAGAAGCCAAGGATATTGATACTTACTCTACAATACAGCCCCTACATCCCATGGTTTCCCTTATTTGCAATAACTAGTATAAGTCTAGGACAAGCAGAAAAGATCAAAAGCTTATGTACATATGAGCATATAAAATAATGTTAAGTGAAATGAACCCCAAGATAGGGACACAAGTGGTTTTTCTTTCTTGCTATTGTTTTTAATGTATTTAAAATGTACTATGTGATTTTTTTTTGTTTCTTTTGTATGTTCTTCCCCCGTGATATGACCCCCCGTTTTCACTGTATTTGATGTCGGTGCCCTGCATCTTGTATATAAATTTTTCTAATTTTGGGAGAGGAAGGGAAATAACAAAATGCTGAAATAAGGATACAGTATGACCCACTGTAACAATGAAATGTACACGACACTATGTTGAAAATGAACTTTACAACTTGGGGAGGGGAGGGAGGCGTTGAGGAGGTGGTGAGGGAAGGGATGGTAGGGAAAAACAAAGGAGGAGGTAACAGTGCTCAATAGGAAATGGACTCATTACCTTACTCATGTAACTGTAACCCCTCTGTATAGTATTTTTACAATAAAAAAATAAGACATCCCCTACAGCAAAGAATGATAGTACCCAAAGTATCAATAGTACTGAGGGTTTGAAACTCTGTTGGTGGCATAATGCAGAAGACAGTGACCACATGCAAATTACAGCATACACACTCTCAAGGGGAAAATTAAGAAACATTACAGTGGCAATAAAGCCTTAGAAATAGTCACAGGGTTATTAGTGTCATTTCACTATGAAATTCTATGCTAGATATATTTATAAAATAATTTTAATAAATGGTTTAAAATGCTCTTAGCACCATGAAATTAATCTTTAAAAAAAACACTTGGAAGAAAATTCAGACAGCAGGCTTCTAGGGTTGCAAAAGTTCTTTCCATTATTAAGTTTCCTCATTCTATTTCCTTCAATGCTTCAGAAAAGTTTTATACAGAAGAAAATGATGTAGTGCTCACATGAAGGGATGGTGGGGTTTGGAGAGATGGGAGAGAACAATGAAAAGGGTGGCATCATTCAAGATGCATCATGGAACACCTGCTCAACAACTACTAAAAGACTTTCAAAATAAATTTAAAAATTAAAAACAAAATAAAGTTGTGTATATCATCACTTGATATGCACTTGGTTTTTTTTTCATGTAAATTCTTTTCTGGGAATATCAAGGTAATGGATAGGTTTTTGCAAACATGGACCTGGATTTTACCATCTGTTTTAATAAGGTTGAGGGTTTGACTTTCTAACATCTAGATACTCTGTCAGTCTATCCTGCCTGCCTGGAACAGAGCAACTTTCCTTTACAATACAATCAGTAGATACATCCCCTGTGTCTTCTAAGTTATCTCCCCTCATATGTTCATTTGGTGCCTCTGCTTTCCCTCCAGCTTTCTCTTCCCACCCAGTCCTCCCCATTCTGTCCAACTGTCTTTATCATCTGCCATACTCATCGCTGCTTTCCCTGTTATGTTTCAATTTCCCACTGACAGCAGCTAAAGACCTATTCCTCCAGGATCCTTTCAGGTGATTTCATTCACCCACGTTTTATTCAAGGAATCAGAGGGTTATTTGGAAACCTCACACTTTTTGCCATTCACTGTCATTATTAGCGAGAATATACTTATATGAAATGAGGACAGCTGGGTGCTGATGGCTCATTCCTGTAACCCCAGTTATTCAGGAGGCTGAGATCGAAGGATTGTAGTTTGAAGCCAGCCCCAGCAGGAAAGTCCATGAAACTCTTAGCTCCAATTAACCACCAGAAAGCCAAGAAATTGTGTTAGCATGTTAGCTTTATGTTTTTAAAAAAAAAAA